CATAAACCCCATGGTGATGCATGCCTGTAATTCCAGAACTGAGAAAGTAAAGGCAAGAAGATCAAAAGTTAAAGATCATCCTCCACCACATAGCTAGTTTAAGGCAAGCCTGGCCTATGCAAAACCCTGTTGAGACACAGAGAGATAGAGAGAGATAGAGATAGAGTTAGAGAAACAGAGACAGAGAGAAAAAAATTAAAAGTAACAATTCTGAGGCTGGAGAGATGGCACAGCACTTGCTGCTCTCACAGAGGACCCAGGTTCAGTTCCCAGCATCTATATGATAGCTCACAACTGTCTTTAACTTCAGTTCCAGGGGATCCCATGCCCTCTCTGGCCTCCATGGGCACCAGGCATACACCTGGTGCACATACATACATGCAGGCAAACACTTATTCATATAAAATAAAAATAAAAATTTAAAATCCTAAAAAATATAGTCATAGTTTTAATTTAATAATTAATATATCCTTTTGCATAGATATATCATAATGTAGTTAAATAATGTCTTCTTATTAAGAATTTAGAATAAGGACTAGAGAGATGACTCAGTGGTTAAAAGCACTGGCTGCTCTTGCAGAGGATCAGGGTCTAGTTACCAGCACCCATATGGCAGCTAACCACTGCTATAATTCCAGTTCCAGAGGATCTGGCCTCAGTAGGTATTGCATGCATGAGTGCACTTACATACATGCAGGCAAAACATTCATACACATAAAATAAAAATAAATTAATTAAGAATACATTTTTAAGAAGTCAGACAACCGGGCATAGTGGTGTACGTCTTAAACCCCAGTTCTTCAGAAAACAGAGGCAAGCAGATTTCTGTGAGTGCAAAGCCAGCCTGGTCTACATAGCAAGTTCCAGGCCAGCTGGGGATGCATAATGAGACCCTGTTTCATAAAAAGAAAGGCAGACACAAAAGAGTACATACTGCATCAATCAGGTAGAGGTCCAAAATAAGGACTCGACCTATAGGAACAGAAGTCAAAACAGTGACTACCTTTCAGGATACATAGACTGGATAAAAGTGAGTAGTAGACATCTATGGTGTGGTATTGTTCTACCTATTAATCTTGACTAGAGCCAAATGGGTGTGGTTATTTGATTAAGAAAAAGCTACTGAGTTTTCTTTAGTGAAAAATGTTTACTTTAAAAGGCTCCTTTACATTTTATTTATTTATGCTGTGGTGTATGTTCACCAAAGGCTTGTGTGCTGGAAGTTGGGTCCCAAGGATGGCAGTGTTAAGGTGATGGAATTTTAAGTGGTGGGAGCTAGTGGAAGTACAGGTTACTGGGGACCCTGCCTTTAGAAGAGAGTAATAAAGTTCTCATAGGACCCTCGTTAGTACCTGCTAGAGTGTGTTGTTAGAGAAGAGCAAGCCTGGCCTCTGAGTCTCTCTAGCTTCCTGTCTTCCTTGTCTCATTGTATTATTTTAGAATTTCAGCTTCCAAAATTGTAACATGAGTAAACTTGTTTACCTTGTAAATTATCCTGAGTGAGATGTTTTGTTATAGCACAGAAAAAATACCAATAGATCAATCTCTCAGAAAAGAGAATTAACAAAGCTTTATTAAACTTTGAGAATTTGTCTAAACCATTGATCTCTTCTGTTTAACTTTGGTGGTGCCCATGATTTTAGATATCCATCCATTTCTTTTAGATTTTCAAGTTTAGTAGAGTATAGGAAGGGAATGGGCATGGATTCCTTATATGCATGTATGAAATTCTCAATAAATTATTTATTAAAAAAATAAAATAAAATATTCCTTTATAATGGTCTGGATCTTTTGGGTGTCTTTTGTGCTGTTTCCCCTTTCATCTCTAATTTTGTTGATTTGGATTTGCTCTTTCTGTTTTTTTGTTTTGTTTTGTTTTGTTTTGTTTTTTTGGTTAACTGGACTAAGGGTCTATCTTGTTTAGCTTTTCAAAGAACCAGCTCTTAGATTCATTGATTCTTTGTATTGTTTTCTTTGTTTCTATTTCATTAACTTCTGCTCTGATTTTTGTTATTTCTTCTCTTCTGCTGGGTTTGGGTTTCATTTGTTCTTGCCTTTCCAGTGCCTTGAGTTGTAGTGTTAGGTAATTTATTTGGGCTCATTCTAATTTTTTAATGTAGGCACTTAGAGCTATAAACTTCCCTCTTAGGACTGCTTTTAATGTGTCCCAGAGGTTGTGGTGTGTTGTATTGTCCTTTTTGTTGACTTCCAGAAATTCTTTTATTTCTTTCTTAATTTCTTCTTTGACCCACTCATGGTTTAGGAGTGTGTTGTTTAATTGCCCTGAGTTCATGTAGTGACTAGGGCTTTGTCCAGTGTTGATTTTGAGCTTTATTGCATTGTGGTCCAATAGAATGCATGGAATTATTTCAATTTTTTTTAAATTTGTTGAGGTTTGTTTTGTGGCCTGGTATGTGATCAATTTTTGAAAAAGTTCCATGGAGTGCTGAGTAGAAAGTGTATTCTTTGGTGCTTGGGTGGAATAATTGAAAGATGTCTG